TCGTTCAACCAGAAGAATCCTGCTACTTCACTCAAAGAAGTCAGGTTTGTTCTATACGATCAAGATCATCCGACGGTCCAGGCTTTCGAAGCAGAGTTGAAACAAAGGAACGAGAAAAACACCCCCATTCTGGTTGGAATGAAAGCACATTCAGTTAAAAAACCGCATCTAAGGGCCACTACAGAGCGTTCCAAGGCATCTTCATCTCAGACCGCCACCTTTTCTCCAGTACGAGAGCGAAACCCAGATCACCTTGAAACAAACGTGGGAACACTGTGCTTCAAAGTCCAACCTGGCGACATCACAAAAGAGGACACAGACGCCATCGTCATCATATCTAACCCTGAGCTAGATCTGAGGAGGGGAGGTGCAGGTGCAGCGATTTTAAGGTCAGGAGGCGGTTCCATTCAGAGAGAGTGCTCTAAACAAGGCCCTCAACCTCCAGGATCTGTCGTTGTTACAAGAGCAGGTCATTTGAGAGCAGGATACATTTTCCATATAGTCCCTTCAGCTTCCACTGACACTAGAAGCATCAAAGCCTCGGTAATGAAGTGTCTTCAGGAAGCCGAGAAAAGGCGCTTTACATCCATTTCATTCCCTGCCATTGGAACTGGTAACCTTGGAGTTTCTGCGAAGTCATGCGCCGACGCAATGCTCTCCGCGATTCGTGGCTTCAGTGACAAGCAACCCACGTCCTTGCAGCTTATTAAGATGATTGTTTTCCAAACAGACATGATGAAAGAAGTCCGTTTGGCAATAAAAGAAGCGTCTGGGGAAACGACCACTGAGAAACGTGGAATCTTCCGCCGAGTTTTTTCAACGTTTGGAGGTTTTCTTGGTTTAGGAGATTCAGATAAAGATGCCTCAACTGGAAAAATCCCCGTAAATGGTTACAACAAAGATCTTGACCTTGTGATCTTTGCTGGTAGTAGAGGAGACCTACAAGGAGCGATGAACGAAATCAATGAAGTTATGAAAGAGAAGTCAACAAAGCGGGTTATTGAAAACGAAGCAATCAAATTATTTTCGAAAGGACATTTTCGAAAAATAAACACACTTGAACAACGATACGATGTTTCAGTATCGGTGGAGAAAATGGTGGAACGCATTGTAGTGCAAGGACAAAGTGACGATATCCTTAACGTCGTGGGAGAGATCCACGAAATGTTGCATCAAATACGAGAAGAAGAGCACGAACGTAAGCGAGCAGAGGCGCTTTCGAAAGATATCCAGTGGATGTATCATGATGGCACTAACTTCGTTCGTTACGAAAGCCACGTAAACGCCAAGATTGAGCTGGCCCATCACGATAAGAAAAACACAGTGATACTTACTTCAGAGGAGGGAGACGATTACATAGTTGACTTAACCACAATGCGGGTGAAAGACCCATATGGCACCATCATCACCGAAGTTAAAAGAGTTGATCGAAAAAGTAAGATAATTAATGAAATAAATAAGAACCTTAACTCCTGTTTTTGTAGCTTGTAGTGCCTCTTTCCTAGCTGCTCTTACAGATGGAGTGCGTGTCTTTCACAGACTGTTTATAACTTACCCCGGTCAGATTAAAGTTGACCTTGTTTTTGAACCTCATTGCTTTCTGCTAAGCCTTGTGTAAGACTTCCCTGGTTTATTTTTGTAACTAAGACAACTATCAACATCATATTCTAGCGATCTTGTCTCTTCCAAGCATTTAAAACCTCTTAGATTTTTGAGCAATCATGTTAAGTTTTGTTAAGACTACACTTAAATACATTGGTAAGGAATACGATCCTTTTAGGAAACCCAGCCTCCCTTTGCCCTGGTTTTGGGCTCTTGCAACAAGGCATCCTTTTTTTAAGTGTTGAGCTAAACACTTTGTTTTTGGCGTAAAACCAAAGCTGAAAAAACAACCTTTTTGTTCATTCTTTTCCAGGTGTTCAAGTACCAGATCACTGGACTCCTCAACCAAAGGATCCACAAGGTAATGAAACGACCGTACATCTTTGTCAACTGGATCCTTCAAGAGATGTGCAAGAATACCAAAACGTCCAGGCTAGATTCCAGAATACGTGCAGTAACCAAATTGTAAAGATTGAGCGAGTGCAAAATCCAGTTCTGTATAGAACGTATGCAATTCGAAAGCAGAAAATGGACGAGGGAAAAGGCAGCAATGAGCAATGGCTTTTTCACGGAACTCCAGGCAGTAACTGTCAACTTATAAATCATACAGGTTTCAACAGAAGCTTTCATGGAAAAAACGGTAAGAGATGACTAGCCAATTAACTTATAGCTAATGACATGGGAAATTAAAAAAAAAATCGAGTTATTTGGAGTTCGCGTTATATGGAAAAAAACGTTGTTTACTGTATTGATATTCATACAGCGGCGTAGATTTTAATCAAATTTAATCACAGAGAAGTCCTAAGCACGTGAAGACCGTGTGTGTTGAGGTCGAAAGCAATATGTGTTGTACGGTCCAGTTACTGACTGGATGCAATCTTAAGCAATGATCTTTTGTTTGGGTTGAGTGTTGTTCAGGCTTTAACCAGTTTGCTTCCCTCATTCCTCCTGTATCGCGATGGTCTCAGCAGTCTTGCAGACCTGCGATTAAGTTTTGTAAGCAAACTACCTTTGCCACAACTGTGACGAGATTGGGATCGACTCTAAGTATTCCACTGACCGTTAGTTTGTTTCTTTTAGCGACCATGTATGGAAATGGAGTTTACTTTGCATTGGATGCCTCCTACTCTGCCAGGTCCACGTACTCACCGCCAGATGCTAACGGATGGCGATATATGTACTTCACTAGAGTCCTGGCTGGTGAGTACACAGTTGGAAGACAGGGCCTTCTTACGCCTCCTGCAAAGAACCCCAGCGATCCCACAGACATCTTTGATAGCGTGGTGGATCAGAATCCTAACCCGCGAATCTTTGTCGTGTTTTACGACTGGCAATGTTATCCCGAGTACCTAATCACTTTTCAGTGATGATACCACTATCAGTAAAATGCTCTTGCTTGAAAATTTAAAAAACTTTAGACATTGGAGGGAGTGCGTCACTGTACTTCTCCAACAGCATTTTGTTGTAACCATTTTGCAGACAGTTATTTTTAATCTGTGTTTCCAGACAGACATACCTAAACTTAGATTTAGGGTGCAATAAGAAACAACCAAACATTAAATAAATTACTTAAACTTGGCAACGGCCAATGATTAATATAGTCATGGGAACGCCTACACTAGACCTATATAGAGGTGGGGTTCAAAAAAAGTGTTTGGTATTTTAGGTTTTATTCAAATACGCATAGGCGTACGCGGCGGGGGGGTTGGAGCTGCAGGCTCCGAATTTTTCGGGCAAAGCGCAAGTACTCGGGAGAAAACATTCTAAAAGATTGACAAGGCCAGGCTTGTAGGCTACTTTCTCTAACGTTTGCCTTGTAAAGACGGAGTAATTCTGTTTTGGAAAAGCCATATATCTTTTAAGTGTGTATCTTGGTGATCCACGAGATGGATTTTATTTCCATCAACAAAACAATGACAAAAGAATCAAAGCAAACGAAGACCAAGACTTTTGTTTTCGTGTTGGCTATGAAAAGAGCCGTTCTAAATTGCTCCACAGAGCCGCCCCCCTCCTCCCCTCTCCCCACTCCCCGGCCCGGCCAAGTCCGAAGGTGCCCTTACGCCTATGCAAGTACGTGATTAAAGCAATTTTGATTTTCTCTTTAAGCCATAATAAGGGCTGCAGATGCTATTTCCATGTAAGCTCTAAATCACTTTAAAGTGATTTCAATGCGGGCTTAGCTCAAAGTGATTGCAGTCTAAAACATGTTATCAAGGAAATATTTTTTTGAACGAGTGAAATTTGCAAAAACTGGGCTATCTATAATCATTAAATTATAGTCATGGTAAGACACGCACAAGAATTTTTAGCTTTTGACATCGAAGTAAGGAGTGAGCTTGCGATCTATTTTGCCCCACTTCCCAAATAGGAGTGTGTTCAGTTGTCAATTACAATGTTGATAGACACAACTTGAGGTAACGTAATGGATTATTTGTAGTTCTCAATCTAAATTTGGAATTTGTATTTACACTTTCCTGTAAACCTTGGTCATTACTCAGACAGCTACGTTATGTTAAGAAAACCGCAAAGGAAGAGCAAAAGAAAACACTGTACCGTAAAAGGCTAGATGAAATAGTCGTTCTGGCACCTGCATGTACAGTACCCTAATGCAACTGTCCAGGTACAATTACGCATTTGCTGTGCATAGTACCTGGTTTTCAAAACCTACCATTAGTTCTAGTGATACTTTTAGGTCAACACGTACAAAAGCTAAGAATACTGAATTAGCTAGCTATATATGTGTGCACATTGGTAGAACTGCAACTCTATTGTATCCGCTAATGGGTATAGAGCGTATTCACTCACGTCTCCAGCAGCCATGCAAGTTTATCGGAACAAAAGAAAGTGTTTACATAAGAAAAGAGTTGAACTTCCACCGGATTGGTTTGGTACATCAACATGGCCGCCGTTTCATTGTTTTGGAACACCAATTTGGCTGCCTCGACGTCATGTGCATACGCTCCATTAACGAAGGAATTTTACAATATACATTTGTTGGAGTCGATCGAAGGGGCTGTGTCACGCACCGTGGGTAACCAATAATTTGGCTCAGTTAGAAACACCTCCAGCATGGTGTCATTGTGGAGTGTCTCTGGACCGAGCGTTTCAGGTTCAAGCCCTGTCATACAAAAGCTTTCCTGGCCTCGTGTTGCGTCCTAATGGGTACTCTCACTGTACCTTCCACTGCACAATTTGATGTATTTCATTCAACGCCACAATGAGCACCTACATATGTGCAGATCAGATCTTCCCACGCCCAAGACTTAAGTGACAACTATCTGTTGTCCTAAGTTACGTTCGTTTATGACAACAGAGAGGGGAAGAGACGGATACTGAACCAACAATTAAGACACCGGCTCACGTTTCTCTTTTGATACCACTTCAATTTCGCTACAGAAACAGCAGTTTTTATTGTGCTTGTTTATTTGTTTGTTTTTTATTTAGTTGTTGGCTATTGTTGTTTTTTTTTGGATATATTTGTTTTCTTATATTTGTACGTTTTATTTTTCTTAATCACAATTATTTCTCCACCTATCCTTTGGCTTCTCAGTGGCTAACGCATATTTCATTTCAACTGAAGGCACGATAATCAAGGAATGATGGGACACAGCCTCTTTCAAGCGATAAACATCCAGGAAAGCAGAATATTAATGAACATATTCATATTCTCTTAATTGTCGATGATCAGTTATATAATTAGCTTATAGTTAATTACACCGAAAAGAAGTGGAATGAGTAATTAACTGCTTAGTGTAGATTGTAGTCAAGTTTTCTTTTTGGTTCTAAGGTAGGGCCTAACGGACAGAATTTTATAGTGCTTTAACGTTCAAAATTATCTTGAGCTTTAGCCATAGTTCTAAGTTCTTGTTCAAAGTAGGGTAGGTAAGGTGACGCTGAAGATAGTTTGTGTCTTATCACAAATCGATAATAAAAAGCTGGTTATAGAATTATAAGCACGTGAAGCTAGAGTTACCTGGTTGTCGTTGCTATGGTAACCCATTGTGCTACGAAGGTCATTGGGCATTTGCGTGTTGTATAATTGTTACTCACGTTTGAGAATGAGANTATAGTGCTTTAACGTTCAAAATTATCTTGAGCTTTTGCCATAGTTATAAGTTCTTGTTCAAAGTAGGGTACGTGTAATTAAGCTTTTAACTATAATTAGGAGTTCAAAAAACAATTCCATAAGTAGGGTTCAGACTATTTTAAATTTTCAAAATTTAAGGTGGCGCTGAAGATATTTTGTCTTATCACAATTCGATAATAAAAAGCTGGTTTTCGAATTATAAGCAAGCAAAGCTAGAGTTACCTGGTTGTCGTTGCTATGGTAACCCATTGTGCTACGAAGGTGATTGGGCATTTGCGTGTTGTATAAATGTTACTCACGTTTGAGAATGAGAACATTTGTGAACCCCCAAAACATCTTTATCAAC